AGGTTGACTATTTGCATTTTGTTTCAACACCAACCTGGCAAAACTTACAGTAACTTGTTCAATGTTAATGTGGCATCTGGGAAGGCCTCCTTATGAACCCTCAAACGCTCACTGTGGCTCTGCACAATATGTGCTAGAATAGCAGAAGGAGATCTTGAGCAACATGGCTACGATTTAGAGCGCGGGGATTGGAAGTGGCATTACATACGAGAAGATAGACTTGTCTGGACAACATTTCACGTGGAGGCTGGTCTGGGAGAGAAGTAATTTCCCTTTATCCAGTAAGATCTGAAAACCCCAAACGCAGCCACCTGTAACTTCCTAAAAAAAAACACAGATGGACACTCTTGTCTGGCATCACAAACCAGTGGCCCAGCTGGAGGACAGGAGCGTGAAAGACCTCAAAGAACAGCCAGCAGGGAGATGGGGAGGAAGGGAACCAGAGCAGAGCGGCTCCTTGGTGCATCACCTTACTCGGGCCAAAAGCAAAGACAGTTTTCACTGCCCCTGTCCTCCGTGCATACACTTAAGTGACTGTCTTCTACTGAGGCTTATTTCTACTGCTCCTTCCTGTCCTTCAGGCTTTAAGGGCACCGCTAAGGGGTTGCATCTAGAGTGTGCGTGGCATGATTCTGCAATAACGTGCTCTTCTTTGCACAAGAAGATCATACTACTTATTCATCTTCACGGGACATGCTGTTTTTCTGTTCACAGGGATAGTTTTACACTAATCCTCCCACTCCATTTCCTTGGACTCCATGGTGACCAGCTGGTCCTGTGTGCAGGCAGCTGGTTATGACAAAGGAGTGGCTCTTTGTCCAGTAGACAGAATGACCCTGTGACCTCCACCACATTGGCTTGTGGTCCGCAGGCACTCAGAGATTGGTTCCTATCAGGGCTCCAGCATTTCTTACTTGTCAAATATGCAGGTCAATGTCTTCATTCGCTTCTCTGCCTTTTGGCTTAGATCAAGTGTAATGTCTTAATTCAGGATCTTTTTAAAAAAATCCTCAAATTGGGCATAGTAATTGTTCTCTCCTGGTCTTTGGGGGAGGAAGGAGCTAAAAATGTAAAGCTTTTCTGCCAGTTAAGTACGGAACTAGATGCGCTTTTGGCGCCCAGTCAAAATGGCAATATAGTGCCTTTCCTTCCAGTGTAATTCTTTGTGTGACTACCTGCACCAAGAACAGAAGCTATTGGTCATGTTCTAACCATTAGGCAGCAGCCAGCCATAAACCTTCCTTCTCATTCATGTGTGTGGGTCAGTGTGCTGGTGCTTACTGAAAGCTTTACATAAAGATTAAGCCATGCCAAGAATATCTCTTGCCCATTGCAAGCCAAAGAATCCCGAGAACGTCTGTTTGATAAATCCTTGCCTGACTCGTTTACAGGCACTCAGAAATAAACTGTTAAAGTAACCTACCTAGTTTGAGCCCGAGTTCAGAACTATCTAGCATGGTGTATTTATTTGTTGAATGGCTCTGCCAGAGGCCCTAAATACAACTATGTCCCTTACCAGTTAGTTGATGGGTAGTGTGGTCGTCATTCTTCATTTCTGTAATCATGTTTAAGGTTTACACACTATGATACATTTCATAAAACTTTAAGGAGGATGATAAGAAACTTTCTCTGTGGAGCTAAAAATGACACTGAATCATTTCCTTTGTTGCTCTTTGGATTCCCTTATAAAGTTATCCACCCAGTATACCTTGCCTAGATAACCAGTGTGTCTGATTGACATTTAGTAATGCTGGGAACATTAGTCATTGCTTATTGCTCAAGAGTTGAGATCAACGAGGGAATCACTGTGTTCATCAGTTTAAAAAATATATGTGACTATACTCATTAAGGAATAAAGGGCTCCTTGGGCACTAAAGGACTGAAAATTATTTCAATAGAAAATTTCTTTTTTGCCATAGTAGCATGTACTGACCAGACTTCAAAAGTGCCATAAGGCAGGCAGCTTGGGGTTTGTAACTCCTTCCTTTGTTTGCTATGCCCTACATTTGGCCACTATTTTTCCATTTGCAAACTTTTTTTCCCCTTCTCTTTTAATAGAGTCCATCTTACTCCAAATTCTCTATTTGTTTGGGTTTATACAGAAATTGTGGTTTGAGGAAAATCCTCCCTTTTGTAAGTTGACACTATTTGAAAAACAAGTCCTTTCAAAATTTATCCTACACAGGCATTCATTTAAATAGAAGCAGTAGAAGAGCCAACCAGATATTTTGGAGGAAAGTGCCTCTTTTAGAAATATTTTCTTTCTTTGTGTCTTTGGGAGCATTGATTATAACTGTGTTGGGGGCGGGGGTGGGGGGCTGGGGGTGCTGTGGGTTAAGCATCAGTCTGCCAACTGAGCGGCTGGCAGTTTGAAGCCACCAGCTGCTCTCTGGAGAAGGACATGGTGAACTGTATCCATAAATATTTATACTTTCAGATACCCCGTGGAGCAGTTTTAATCTGTCTTAGAATATAGGGTTGGTATGTATCAATCAGCAGAGGTGTGTGTGTGTGTGTGTGCACGCACAAGGACTTTGAAGGCAGTGTTTCAGAACTTTAGGCATTAAACAGTTAGACTTTACCTACACCTAAGACATGTGACCTTCCAATTTTATAGCTTGCCAACTGCAAGAACACTGCTAAAATCTATTGAGTTGCATAATAGACACCACAGTAGGGAAAGTGCTAGAAAAGTTCTCTTAGATTAAAATTGCCTTCTTCAAATTCTATTCAGCTACAGGGTGCATATGTTTTGAAGTTATTGTCTAAGGCATCATCAACCTTAAATCAAAATTAAAATGGCACAGAAAATACTCTGCTTGCCTATGGTGCCAACTATATTTTATTTCATTTCATGTCATTTCATTTATAGGGTAATGTTCCTCAATCCCAGAATACATCATGCATACACAGATTGCTTATATGGTAAAACAAACAAACAAAAGAGGTTGTTTCCTTGTTTGCGGTCATGTGGATGAAATTGATTAGTGGATGTGTTGCTCCTACTTCATTTGGCATCTGGTTACCGTGTAGACACAGGATTTGAGCTTGAGATTCAGCACACAGTGTTGTATAATAGCTAATGTCTACACTCTGGAGTAGACTGCTAGGGTTTGAATTCTGGTTCCATCATTCCATAAGATCCCTGTGTCTCTTACTTTTCCATCTGAAGAATGAAAGTAATTGTATCTAACTGCACGGTAGCTAAAAGGGTTAAATGAATCAACATGTGCATATTGAACAAACAAAAAAAATACCTGCCACTATTTTAAGAATACTTGTCACTATTTAAAAACACTTGTCACTTGTAATAATAATTGTAATCATTACTATTATTAAGAGTAAAAAGTTCCATGCCATTAATTTTGGTTACAAGAAGTTGATTACATATTCAGCATATTAGGAAGTTCTTTCTCTCCTTGTCCTTTCCCCTCTATTTCTTTCATATTCTCTCTCTCCTTTCTTTCATCCTTTCTCTTTTGTTCCCCTTGCCCAGTTTGCTAGCATTTCAGCAGCATGGGGACTCTTGGTATTCCCAGTCTAACTTTGTGTCCTGTTTTTGATGGTGGTGCTATGGGGAGAAGAGAGTAGTTGTGGGGTGAGGATAGGATTGTGCTGTCCACATCCAACTATGAGAAGGTGGAGCTCCCAGTGGCTAGTAGGCCCCCACTGCACACCTGCCCACGTGTGTATCAGAGGAAGGGACATTTTTTTCTGTGTGGGGTTGGCATTCACGCTGCAAGAGGATGGATAATGGTGTTATTTTTGTTCCCCACAAATGTGGATGTTTAAAATAGTGCTTTATTCATTCGGCATAAGTGACACATAGACTATGTATAGTGCCGGAATTGGGCCTGGCAGGTGATGAAGGCCAGATCTCAACAAAATCAAGAGCCGTGGGTCCCCACTGATAGTCCTCAAGGGATCGGCTCGGAAGACGACCATTAGAGAGCCCCCATCTTGGGCTACCGGGAAAATTCACTTGCACAACTCCTGAATTGTCTGAAATGGATGTCCCTCAGAGCCAGTGAACAGGGAGGTGTGGGCCTCGTTTCCATGGGACATGCCAGCGGGTCACATTTCCTCTCTGAACCTCCCTCCAAGCCGCACTGTACTCGTGAAGGGTAAGTGCATTCGTTGTTCTGGGTGTCTTTGACTCGGTGCCCTGCGGGGTTGGAACACGGCCAGGAAAACTGAACCTCGGGCCTGCAGCTGAGGCTATATTTAATTGGGGGTTAATTGTCTTGCCATGGCTTGACAAGTTAGGGGAACATTGTATTTGGGATTTCTTGGCCATGGGAGGGCTTGGTAGTAGTGTCCATTTGGACCTCGAATATGCCTCCCTTTTAGTGACTACAATTAAACCTGCCCTTTCAGCCTTAGTTTGTCAGCCTTTGTAAATGACCCTTGATACTCGGAGTCCACACAGTAAGGATTCTAGGAGGATTTCTTCCTATTGCCAGGCGAAGAGATTATGCATGGTGGAGCATCGCTTTGAGGGGAGATTGGGATGAAATACTTTATTCCTCTGAGAAGTGTCATTGCCAGGACGTTCGGAGGCTGGCTTTCCACAGGGAAAGAAAATGAACAAATATTTCTAGGCAAATAGAAAGTGGCTACCAGTACAAAGACAATCTGGAAATGTGTCCAGAAAGCCCTGATGTGCGGTGGGTGGAGTGCAGAGCTTGAATGCTTGCTAAGCACAAAGGAAAAGGCGCTTTGAGTCAGAGAATTGGGAACCCAGCAGGCAGGGAGAAAGGGCTACTTTGGACTTCCTAGCCCTCCCCACTAAAGATGATGAGTCCATGTGCTCGATTTTACTCCAGACCCACACGTTTCCTCCACCCCCAGCCTTCCTTTTTCATCTCCCGAGAGCCTCCCTCGCTGCCCTCAAGTGTGGTTTCCGTATGACTGGGAATGGACACTAAAAATATTTCTGGAATGACGTGACCCTCTCTCGCCCCACCAGGAAAGAGACAAAGCTGCCCCAGAAGCAGCATATGCTTTCCCTGCATCTCCGGGGGGAGTCCCGGGGTCGACCTGCCGGGGCTGATGGCATTCAGACTCAGAGCTGCCGACGGTGCCGGGCCATCCACTGGACGGGACAGCTCGGGCACAAGACGCTGGCCACGGTCTCGGCAGGAGCAGCAGCCCCCCAGCGGCAGCCCCCCTCGGCCACCGCATCCAGGAACCTTCCCATCTCCCTCAGCCTCGCCCTGGTCCCGCCACAGGGGCTGAAGCACTTGCAGGTGGTGGCAGCGGCGGCCGTGGTGCCTACAGCCTTGGGACCGGTCCAGGCACGTGGGACCCTGCTTCGGGCAACGCTGTGGCCCCTCCGAGGCCAGAGAGGCCCCAGCGCTCACCACTGCCTCATCCTGTCGCTGAAACCCGGGCAGGGGCTCAGAATGGAAGCGGCTACGGCTGAGCCGATGTCCCAGGTCGGCCGGTCGGAGGCTGGGGACCGGGAGAGCCAAGTCCAAGAGGCGCCAGAGCGAACTCAGCAGCTGCGGCCACTTCCTCAGCCTTCCGTTTGCTCGCAGAGAGAAGTGAAATACGTGGGGATGTGTGCTTCCGCTCAAGGGCAGAGGCCGAGTCCTCGGACCCCGAGACTTCCCCTGGAGCACCCCCCAGGGGACCAAAGGGCCCTCGGGAGTCCCCAGGAAACGGCCAAAGGAGCCCGAGACGAACCCGGAGACCACGAATCCACAGCACCCTGCACCAAGGACTCGGACAGCTTCTCATCTTCCTCCTCCTCCTCCTCCTCCCCGGTGGACAAAGCAGTAGAGGATGACCTTTCCAAACAGTGTGATACCATGACATCGACGGGGGCTCTGGCCACCTCTTCTTCCTCCTTAGGCTTTGAGAGTGACAGTGGTGAGAGCGAAGAAAGCTGCCAGCCCAGAAGCGGAGAAAGGGGGACACCGGGAGGAGGTGGTGGGGTGGGAGCTGGAACAGAGTGCAGTGGCCTGATCACCAGGTCCCTGGGGGGCAGGGACGCCCCCCCAAATGAAGACGCTCACTACATCACCACCCACGAGATCCAGCTGAGTGAGGTGGAGCAGGACACGGACTTTGACGTGGGACTGGCCTCCCATTGGGATTTCGAGGACAACAACGTCATCTACTCGTTCGTGGACTACGCTTCCTTCGGGGGCAGCGATGAGACCCCGGGGGATGTCACCACCCCGACTGAAGAGGACGACGACAACAGCTGTTACCTCAGCACCACTCCCAGCACCCACGCCACCCGGACGCCCAGCCCCACCAGCAGTGACCAGGCCCGCCCCGGTGCGGTCGGCAGCGATCGGGACACCAGCAGCACGGAAGTGGGCAGCGATCCCTCGGACAGTGACCCCACACCCCCACCCACGGGGCCTGGCACGGCCACCCCGCGTGAGCTCTTGCCCGAGCCCCCGGAGGCAGCTTCAGGGGCGGCAGCCGTTGCGAGCAGCTGTGGGAGCGCTGCGAGCCAGATCCTCCTATCAATCAAACCGACTTCCCGGGCTATAAATGAGCCTAGCAACGTGCGTGCAAAGCAAAACATTATTTACGCTGCCAAGCATGAAGGCGACATGAGCCTCCGGGTCTCTACAGCTGCTGAACACAATTCAAGTTCACTGAAGCAAGACCGGGCTGCAGCCGTGGCTCAGGACCATGCAAAGAAATTCATCGCTGTCCCTGCTCGCCTGCAGACCAGGTGCGGGGCCCTCCGAGCGAAGGAGCTGGTGGACTACTCCAGTGGAGCCTCCAGTGCCGTGAGCGAGCTGGACGATGCCGACAAGGAGGTGCGTAACCTGACCGCCCGGGCCTTCCGGAGCCTCGCTTACCCCTACTTTGAGGCTCTGAACATCAGCTCCAGAGAGTCCACGCTCTCAGAAGTTGGCTTTGGGCGCTGGTCAACCTTCCTGGACTTGAAATGTGGAGGTGTTGGGGCCAGGGTGGAGCAGAGTCTGCTCCGGAGCAGCGCCGCCTCGGTGGCTGCAGGGCTGAAGAAGGGCGGAGGGACCAGGCCCAGCGCCGACCAGCTCTACATCCAGTCCAAGAGGTCCCAGACCAAGGCCTTGGAGTTCGTGGTCAGCAAAGTCGAGGGGGAGATCAAGCACGTGGAGACGCCCCTGTGCTTCCAGAAGCAGCTCCAGACCGGTGCCCGCGTGGTCACCCTTCTGGAACCCTTGAATCTGTGCGGGGAGCGCAAAGCCGGCTCTGCAGCTGGGTCCAGCCAAGCGGCCAAGGGACCGAGCAAGGGCCCCGGGTCCGTGTACACGGATGATGGCTCGGAGACCTCAGAAGGCAGCAAGCCCACCTCGCGGAGCCAGGGACCCCAGAAGAAGTCTAAGTTTGCTTCCAGCCTACTCAAAAATGTCATCTCCAAGAAGATGCAGCGGGAACACGAGTTCAAAATGGAGCGGGGGCAGGTCACGGACACATCCCACAAGAATCTCCCCAGCGACTCCACGGAGCCGGAGGGCCCCCCTGAGAAGCCGAAAGAGAGGGGCCTGCAGAGGCAGAGCTCGCGCCACTCAGAGGCCGGCTCCGAGTACACGGTGGTCAGCGTGTCTGATGCAGGTGGGGAGGGCTCTGTGATCGAGGCCAAATCCCCCATTTTCAAGGCCAGTGCTCCCCGGGAGAGCCGTGCCGCCTCTGGCCGGAATTTTGCAGCGGGCTACCCAGAAGAAGTGTGTGAGATTAAAAAGAGCGCCTCCGAGACGGTCAAGGGCATCTTCCTTCGAAGTCAGAACAGTGCCTTTCGGTCATGGAAGGAGAAGGACCGCGAGAAGGGAGAAGAGAAAGCCAGCATCGGGAAGCTGCAGCTGCCCAAAGGAGGCGACTGGAGGGCCGACCTGGGCGAGGTCTCTGCCAGCAAGCCCACAATCATGTCCCGCCTCTTTGTCCCCAACATCCAGCAGATGCCCAAGGACAAGCAGCCAGGGAAGCAGGCCACCAAGTACCCTGCTGCCCAGGCTACCTCCACTGCAGTGATCAGGCCCAAGGCTCCAGAAATCAAGATCCGGCTGGGGAGTGTGCAGCAGCCAAGCGCCGACTTCAACATCGCCAAGCTGCTCACGCCCAAGCTGGCCAGCGGCAGCGCCTCCAACCTCTTCAAGACCGTTGAGGACAACAGCAGGGCCCAGCAGAAACTCTTCCGCGGGGACAACCTGGACAAAGTGCCCCAGTTCCAGGTGAGAGACGTCAGAGATAAGTCCAAGGCCCAGGGGCCGCTCCACCAGGTGAGAGATGTCAGGAAACTAATCAAAGGGTCAGGGGACAGCAGCGACAAGGGCAGCGTTACCCCGGAGCAGGGGTTGACTGGGCCCAAGCCCAGACAGCTGACTGCTGCAGCTGGCGGATCCAGATCCCTATCCCCGATGGTGATTACGTGCCAGGCCATGGTGAACCAGAGGGAAGACGGCATGGAGCGAGAGCAGAGGGAGAGCTTGGGCAGCAGGTTCGTGAACTCTTCCCCAGAAGGAACCGTCTTGGTTCACCGGGCATCTGGCAGGCTGCCCGTGGCCACCATTGCACCCAACAAGCCAGAGCAAGGCTCCTACCTGCCAGTGCTCAAGATTGTCTCTAAGACTTCTGCCCAGAAGTCCCCAGAGAAGCCCAAGGACGAGGAGGTCAAGGAAGAGGGGAAAGCCCCAAAGGCAGGCCGGAATGCCCTGGAGAAGCTGACTGCTGCGGTGAGGTCCATGGAAGAGATGTACAGCTTCAACAGAAAGGAGTGGAAGCGCAAAAGCGACCCCTTGCTCTTGATGGCGGATAGCCACGTCCTGTCGCTCATTGCCAGTGAGGAGAGGGGAGGGGCAGGTGGTCCCGAAGGAGACACCACCGACAAGTTGCACAAAAGACTGGGGGAAGTAGCAGAGAGGAGCGCAGGAAGCAAAGGTGGAGTTGTTCTGCGGGGGGCTCCCATAGAGCGCCTACAGCGGAGAAACTCCAACCCAAGCACCGAGAGTGTGTCCGCTAGGGCTGCGGCCTTTGAGAACCTAGCCAGGGAGAGGCCCCGCTCCCTCTATATCCCCCCAGTCCACAAAGATATGGAGAGAACTGCAGCCCTGCAGCCCTTCTTACCACACCCCAGCAACCGGAATGTGCTCACAGTAAGTGCTAGCAGTGCCCAGAAAACGGGGGGTGTCGCTGGCAAGTTCCCACAGGGGCCTTCTCTAGAGAGCCCTTTGGCAGCAAAGGGCATCAAATCACAGGGACTTCGGTCCCTCAAGATCTCGCCAGCCACCAGGGCTCCTCTGGATGAGGCAGCCAGCAGGAAAAGCGGAAGCAATTTGGAGAAGGGCACCAGTGACTGCGAGAATTACCTGACCATCCCCATCAAGGGAAGCTCTGCAGCTGGGGAGCTTCCTGGCAGGCTTGGGGCTGGCAGGGAGGGGGCCCCAGCTTCCTCAGGGGCCACTCTCTGCAGCTTACCCCCGCTGAGTGCCCGTAGTCAGGTTCCCAGCGGATCTAAAGGCTCCCAGGTTAGTGGAACCAGCCGGCCAGCGTGGCGTAGCAAACCTGACAATCCTCGGGAGACCGTAGCTGCTCGCACTGGGCCACAGAGCCCTGAGCGTGCTCCTACCACCATCTACCACCAGCAGCCACTGCCCTTTGCCTTGCAGGGGGCCCAGCCCCAGGTCCTCTGCTTCTCCCCACCTGGCATGCCTGCCCCGGCACCTGCAGGCCCAGCTCCAGTCTCCACAGACCCCTTCCAGCAGGCACCGCCCCAGCAGACCCAGCGCAAGATGCTCCTGGATGTGACAACGGGACAGTACTATCTTGTTGACACGCCAGTGCAGCCCATGACTCGGAGACTCTTTGACCCCGAGACAGGGCAGTATGTGGATGTGCCCGTGAGCTCCCAGCAGCAAGCCATGGCACCCATGACCCTCCCCGTGCCTCCCCTGGCCCTGAGTCCTGGGGCCTACGGACCCACCTACATGATCTACCCCGGGTTTTTGCCCACGGTGCTGCCCACCAACGCGCTGCAACCCACGCCGATTGCTCACACTCCAGGGGGCAGTGAGCTGCCTATCTCATCAGAGCCCCCCAGCAAAGAGGCAGCAGTGACATTCAACGAGGCCCCATATTTCTTAGCCTCTGGTCAGTCTCCTGCCTCCTCTTCAGCCTCGACCCCAGCAGCCACATCCCAGCTGGTGGGGGCCCAGGGCTTCACTCAGCTGCATGGCAAGCCTGTCATCAGCATCACTTCGCAGCCACTGGGGCCTCGAATCATCGCGCCCCCTTCCTTTGACGGGACTACCATGAGTTTTGTGGTGGAACATAGATGAAGGGCAACCACCCGAAGGCAAGACGGAGCAACTGCTGGTGAGTGGATTTCACGGCGATAAGGTTTAAGGGATTAAGAGAGATCCTCTCTCTTTGTGTCTGAATTGGGGGGTTTTGGGTGACGCGATGACTGGTCTCAAGAAATGGCCTTTTTAGAAGAATGCAACCAATGCCCGTGCAAACGATTAAGGAGCTAGATTTCTTTCTCAACCCACTCCTCTGTCTCCACAGCCAGGCTTTCCCCCCTTTGACCTTTACAAATTGTTCGAGTACTTTTCCCACTAGAGTATTTTTCCATCACCTTTGAAAATGGAATGAAAAACCAGTCTGAACTGAATGGGCCCCACTGCTTGTTCCTAACCGGACCAATGACAGAAGGCACTGGAAATGCTAGGGGAGCAGTAGAGACACCGTGGACGCGCTGGCTTCTCAGAAGCCAGGCCAGTCAGACCGATGTTTTCTTGCTTGGGAGTCTTTCTAAAAAGTGCAGAAATGCTTCTCTACCCCACCTCGCCTTTTCTTCAAAGATCCTGTACAAAGAGATGGTGCATTTTAAGCTCTTGTTTTTCAGTTCTCAGGTGACCAGAGCACTTTTTATTAAGATGGCTTTGAGATCTTTACTGTATTGTACATGCGTCCCCACACACAGCCTGACCTCTATTCCAAGGGTAGATACCTGAGCTCAGATACCTGAGCTGCTGCTTAGATGGGATGCCTATGTCAGATCCAGTCTGTTCATACTGCATCCAGCATGATCTGCTGCTAATCCCTACCAAGAACTCATTTCCATATCTTCTGGCTACCCTTCAGAAAGACTCAACTTTTGTGTTGACTTCCTCCAAAGGAAGGAAACCTGATAAAATAGGTTCCCGAGTTTATTTGCATGCACAGACAGGAGCCCCTGCTGTCAACAGGTCTGTGGGACTTGATAGCATACCTGAGGCCTCGGGGGAGACCAATCTGACTCTCACACTCCCCTTCTCTTCAGATGAGTAAAGCTTGAGACCACAAGTAACTTCTAGACTCTGTTCTCTCTTGGTAAAATCACACCGAACCCAAGAAAGGAGACAGAGAGGAGAGAATCGGCCATTTCTCTCCTCTCTGAAGTCCCTGCAAAAGAATGGGAACTTATGTTCCTTTGTACACCACAGAGCCTTACCTTGGGAATCAGGATAATTGAATCAGAGACACAGCTTCTTCTTGTCAACAGCTGTGTGATCTTGGGGTGACAAGCTCCCTAGCAATCAGAGTACCCTCTCTAGTGAGGACAATCACATCTGTTCTTCAAACTATAGCTGGCTGTCTCATTATATATCGTTGTACTAGTTTATTGCAAAAACATCCCACAGTTTTCAAATGTAAAGGATTGTTACTGTGTGTTGTAATTTATTCGACTGCAAGGCAATATTAGAACTGTATTTAAGAAAAACAAACCAACCTTGGGGTCCGCTCTCAGAACGAGAGCCTAAAACTCATTTTATTTGCAATCTAGAATTGATTATTTGAATTCTTCCTCTCTGCAGTACAACAGGAGCTGTCCTGATGACAATGTGTGAGAGCATGCATTAAAGATTAAGAGATTCAGAGTGAATGTTTTGTTTTGAGTGAGAAAATATAGGGAAAAAATTTAATATGCATGTCAGGAGACTCCGAATTAGAGAATGTGTTTTTGTTTTCATAAGGGAAAGAGCAACCTATTGGTCAAAAGAGGCCTGGCAGAGTGGCTGGTTACACATTAGGTTGCTCAACACAAAGATGGAAGTTCAAACTCACCCGCTGCTTCACAGGGGAAAGATGAAGCTTTCTGCTCTCATGAAGCAATACGGCCTCCTCGGGGACCCTAGGAAGTTCTACTCTGCCCCCAGAGGGGTGCTGTGAGTCAGAATGACCTCCAGGGCAGTGGGTTATAGGTAAAAGACTCTTCCTTTTCTTGGTGTGTTAGGTATGCTTACCTAAAACTCCCGGGATCAGCTAATCCCGGGAGGCCTTTGTGTAGACTGGGGAGGTGCAGACTCGAGGTGAAGGGAGGACAAGGATGCACTGGGCACAGCCTCGCTTAGTGTCCTCTTAGCAGCTGCCTTTGGCCCGTCTCCAGCCTGCTGAGTCTGGAGAGATTAGTCTTGGAGTTGTTTCCACCAGACACAAACATAACCTAGAATTTTCAGCATTCAAACTTTGGACCACTGTTTCAATTGCATTTTTTCTAGAACTCTACCCCTTCTGGAGGCAAAAAAAATCTTCCTGTCAGTAAAGCACTCTCAAGAAGTACAAACAGAAAAGGGAAAGCTGGTTTCTTAACATCAGAAAACTAGTCGGAAATGAAAGGTTGTCTGTGTGTAGGCAGAGATTGAGCTACCCAAACTCAGCTCATGGAAACACCTTCAAGCTCCCTTCCCTGAAGGTTCCTTGCCCCTTTCTAAAGAAAACCCAACGTCCATAAAGAAGAAGGGCACCATTCTTTTCCCTGGGTGAATTTCTTTCTTCCGTGTTAGCCAGATAGACTGAAAAATTCATTGACCCAGTGATGTTTATCAGGACAGGCGACGGGAAAAGTCTTGAATGGTGAACTCCGTCCAATAGTTCTGTACAAAACAAATTTATTCCAGAGGTTTCCTAGGAGGTAGGAAAGGGTGTTTTGTGCTTCCTCAACTAAGACGTCATGGCGATAATGTGGTCTAACTATACATTTGTTGGAGGGAAAAAACTGGGGTTTAAGAAAGAAATTGTCTTCCTGAGGGTCCACACCAAGCTTCCTGGGGGCTATGTTTTCTATACCTAGTAGGCTGCGTGCAGCCGAAAGAAGCTGCCTGTAGAGACAGAATCAGCTGACCTGGCTGCCAGGACCTGGCATCTACTTCTTGGTGGCACTGGCTATTAACTATCAATGTTCCCCATTGCCTCTCCGAGCCTTCACAAAATGTATGTCTGAATTGAATTTGAATCCAGTCATGCAACCAATAGGAATTTCAGGTCTACATAGTACTAGACACTGTGCTAGGCAATGAATCCAAATAGGACCCAGTATCATTCTACAAGCCAGTAGGAGGAACAGAAAACTACTAGGGTTTAAGTCCTGTCATACCCTTTAAGATTCCGTGTGCGGTCTATCTTTAGCACACGAGGAGCTTTGTTCCCACCACCCCTTTAATCCCTTAGTGCACACTGTTCCTGTCAGGCCCTTCTGATTGTTCTCTTAGGAATTTTCATTTCGTGTTTTTATGTGTAGGTGACTTCCCAGCTTCTCTTGTCCTACATTCAGCATCTGGACACTTGCCCACACCACGGCCCATCTATAAAGGCAGTTACAGGCGTTGCTGTTTTTCACAAAAACCCTCTGAAGGGTATGTGGCACTACCAGGCAAGCCCACAGCATATGCTCAAGTGACATCGAGGCCACATCTTGGGAATTCTGACAATATTCCACACTTTTCATAAGGCTATTGTACTATGGTAGACTACAGTGTAGTGTAAACCTCGTTTTTATTTTAAGGTGTAATAAACGTTATTTAACCATAGTAAAACCCGTGAAACCAAACTCACGGCCATGGCGTTCCTTCTGAGTTCTGACGCACGGCGACCCGAAAGGACACGGTAGAACGGCGCCTGTGGGTTTCCAAGACGGCAACATTTTTTTTTAAGATCATTTTATTGAGGACTCTTACAACTCTTATTACAATCCATACATCAATTGTATCAGACATATTTGTACATAGATTGCCGTCATTCTTTTCTAGACATTTCCTTTCTATTTATCTCTTGGAATCAGCTCCTCTTTTCTTCCCTCCCTCCCCCTCCCAGCCTCATGGCCCCTTGATAGATTATAGATTGTTGTTATTTTCATATCTCATATCTGCTGTCTCCCTTCCTCCCTGGTTTCTGCTGCCTTCCCCCTGGAGGGGTGTGTGGTTATGTACCATTCGTTGTGGTCGATTGCTCATTGCTGAACCTTATTTTATATGCAATAGGAAGCATCCCCATAATAAGCGCTATTCACTTATTCTGCTGTTTGTTGTGACAATCTGGAACGGAACCGACAGTGTTTTGAAGTGTGCCTGGATTGTACTAATGCTATCTTATTGTCACTCAATAATGGTGCCCATATGCACCAAGGCTGTTCATGGTCAGGGGCCATGTGCCCCTCTAACCACAAAGCCACAACAGTGACCCATTTGCAACAAACTGATATGTTCTTCCTCTTGATCTCTTTTGGGGGTGGGGGGGCATGAGGGAATATATGTTTGTTTGTTTTACTTACCTTGCAATTTTCATGCTATTTTTCTTCTTGTGGAATCCCTGGCTGGAGCACCTGGTCCCCACACTAAGTAGGCCTGTCTCTGTCCCCCGAGGCAGCCACTGGAACCCGATGGAGCACAGTTGTACTCTGAAACACATGGGGTTGCCATGAATTGGGATCATCTCCAAGGCAGCTGGTTTCACTGGTCCCTTATTGTGGTTTCTTGTTTCCCATTCAACTTTATCTAGTGAAATGATCCCTTAGTTCTTCCTTTCTCTTTCCTTCATTTTTAAAAATGTTAGTGTTTTTTGGTTTTTAATCACAGATTCAACAGCTTACAAAGCAAGGCTGTAGCGGGCCTGTCAGCTTCCATCCCTACATACGCCTTAGCAGCTTTACGCAGCCCTGGCAAGTCGTGGAAACGTAGGTTCTGAGTTTTTCCCCATGGCTGTAACTGGGTCACAGGCTGCTGGCTCTGACATTTCATTCCCAGTTCATTCTGTAAGGACATCTCTAAAGCAATTATTTTATTTCTGAGTTTTGTTTTTATGATTTACTTAGTTGTGGCTTCCTATGAATCCAGGCTCACTCCCATTGAGTCTCTTCAGAAAGTCCAACTCACCGTCACCACCAGATAGATTCCAGGTCACCGTGACCCTATGGGACAGAGCAGAACTGGCCCTGTGGGTTTCTGGGACTGTAAGTCTTTAGGACGTAGTCTCATCTTTCTCCTGTGTCGCAGCTGACTGATTTCAGACCGCTGACCTT